GAACTGCATATTTTTTAGTTGGGTACTTAAAACATTTTATAAAATATATCATTATACATTATAAATGTTGTTTTCTATGGGACATTATAAGTTATTTACACCTTAAAATATATAACATGTAAGTATATAATGACAACAAAATAGATAGTTAAATAGAATAGTTTTTGAAACTGTATATTATATGTATGACATGTTAACATGGATACATCAGATTATTATTTCTTTATTAGTAAAATGATAATGTTTTCAATTTTCCACACAAATGTCATTTCCATTGGCAGGTTTTTCTTTCTCTGGTTCCATCTATTTAAATCAAACTTTTCATTAATTTAGATTAAAAGTTATGGTATCATATACATACTTCCTGGATAGTATAAGTTAAAAATATCTAATTTAACATGTTCATGAAAAATTCATATCCAGTTGTATATATCAAGTTGTAGATACAGTTCACTAGTTCTCATTCAAGATGTTAGCTAAAATAAGAAGGTTTGATTATAAGATTGTTGTTTTACCATATAATATTCATGTATTTCAAATGAATAAATCATTTTTAATCATTTTTTATTGATATCTGAAATTTCACTAAGTTTACTTTGTATAAAGTAAAATCTTAATTCAGCCTAAAATCAAAACAAAATATGTTTTTTGAATATATACTAACACATATAACATTATGAATACAATGTAAGTATGTGAATAAAAATCTGTGTCCAAAACTGCCATCCACTCAACTATATCCAAAATGTAATTTCTTTTCAACCTGAAATTATACATACAATCTAATACAGTACGCTGCTTGCGATGTGATGGACAATTTTTAGTAATGGCATCTATAAGGAAATAATGATTGAAAATGAAAGAGCAAATTTCCATATATATTAACTGATTTGGTTTTGTTTTAAACGCAAAAATATATTTAATTACTTTTCTTTTAAACATTGATTTATTATTATATTAAATCTTGAGTGATAATACAACAGGTTTTTCCTTCTGGACACAACACTGCTATCCAATTTTTAATATCCTCAGGTTTTTCAAGCATCCGGTTTGAATTCATCATGGATGTAGCAAACTCATAAGACTTTAGCTTAAGACAATTCATAATCTGTGAATTTATTTGCCAATCAATTTTCAATCAAAAATACATTTTTTCATAGATTCCATCTACATGTTATGTTTTGTTTCAAATAACTGAGGAGATGGCAATTAACTGTAAGTTATATTGACAAAATAATATAATTCATCAAATAATAGAAAATATTAATAGAGAACTTACAATAATTTAGATTACACATTATAATCTGAAACATGTGAAAATATAAAACAAAGTACAGTTTATCATAATTCAGTCAAACTAATGACATCTTATTAAATAAATATTGAATTATTAATATAATATAATTATTAAGATAATTAATCAATCTAATTTTAGGTTTTAATAATAGTTTAATATAAAATATATTTTTGTTTGTAAATTTAATTTAATTGATTTTAATTGATTGCTTTATCCTATAGCTGGTTAAATATAATTGTATATGGTCTTCTACAAAGCAGGGCTGTATTTCGAGAAGTACAATGAATTTAATTTATTGGGGTGGCAGATTTATGTGGGTGGTTCTGAAATCCATCCAGATTATCATATTTTAGCATACAATAAAAATTTTTTTATCAAACATTGTACTTTACTCTTAATTATTATACTATACAAACTGTATATCTTCCATACCTTTATATGATATTTTATAATTATTGATTAAAAAAAATCATAATAAAACATTACAGGTTTTTCTTACTTAATTATTAAACACTTCTAAATCCTTCTCAATTTATCTTATGTATGTAAACTTTATTTGTTAAACAAAAACTAATATAGTAAATAATATACACAGGGAGGGGGAGTATTTATTTGCATGTGGCAGCTAAATCCTAAATGCTGCCCAGTTATGAAGTATATCTCAATACACATATGAATATAAGATTGAAATTTCAATATTATTAGTTTTACAATGTATTTATAGTGATTAATTATTAATTCTATATTTTATTTAATTATTAGTAATTATATTATTATGGTTATTGGCTAGAACTGTTAAAGGCAAAAATTAAATTCTGCAATTTTAAGGTTCATAAGAAACTAAAATAATTTGATATTTATAAGCAATAAATCTTTGACTTCAAATATAAAGATAAATATGTGTATACCCAAACACCACAAAAAAAAAAAAAAAACAGTTTATTTGAATTTAAAAAAAGGTGAAAACATTTTTTTGTTCAAATTGGATTTAGTACATAGATATTTACATGATCAGTCAGTATATCAAATTTAAAATAATTTAGAATTAGTGCACATTAAATACAATAAGTGCATGCTTTTTTTTAAAATTAGAAACGCTGTAGGTTTCAATTTCAATTTTATACTGAAATATAATAAATTATAAATCCAACCTATAAGTCCCAATTTATTGAACCATCCTTTTCTTAAACAAATGTGTGCAATTCAAACTGTTTAGATGTTAATAATAAACTTGGAAAATTAAGAAAAATGTATTGTTGCACAAATAGTGTTTTTAGTAAAGCTTTTATTATCTCATACTGATAATACCATTGTATAATTTACGTAAAATTCTGATCATTTCAAAAAATAATATGTACCATTAAATTAAACAGGAACTGGAACCAAAACACCATTCAAATATTGAGAACCAAAACAGCGAATACAAAAATACAAAAATCAAGATTATGTTTTAAGAGGTTTTTGAGAGCTGATATACCTATCAGTGTGTTTATACTTTTATAATACACCTATAATTTTTCTAAGCCACTATTGGAGTAATATTTTGTTAATCATAAAGTAATAAAAACACCCAAATATCCCACAAACCTAATTTAACTGACTAATCCCCGCCACTCAGGTTTATTACCACCCTAGGTTTGTATTTATTGTTGCGTATAACAATAAATACATCGTAATACATGCAATCTGATGGAAAATACGTACCATTACTATTAGGTGCCTACCATAGGTGTTTATCACAAATATCAATAATATAATAATATAATAAACAGATATAAAAAATAAGGAGTTTATTTATTGATATTTATTAATCTAATAATTCAATCAATATATTGATATATCACTGGAATCACGGAAAGCATAAATATTTTTATACATTTTTTAACATTATATCATTATTTTTTATATATTAATATTCCATTTTTTAATTTTAATTTTTTTTTTAATATTATATCAATACATAGTCGAATTGTTAGATTAATAAATATTAATAAATAAACTAATAATTTTTTATATCGGTTTATTATATTATTATATTAATGATTATTTGTGATAAACACCTAATAATAATAGTACATATTTTCCATCAAATTATTTTATATTTATAAGATGTATTTATTGTTATATGGATATGAATATAACTTTTGTCTAATGCATTAAAATGTATCATTATATTCAAAAACATTTTATAACTTACTGTTTTTGTATTTCTAAAGTTTCTTGTCTTCGTTTAGTTTATTGGTACTTCAATTTAAGGTTAGTAAGGTACTCCTTAGCACTAGTTGTTTGGAAGATCGTAAATCTAGCTTCTATTAATATCTTAATTCTTGGCAGTGGCTTCTGACGAGTATCTATATATTTCCGCGTTCTACACTGTGATTTGTCCGAATATTAATAATCAAATTTTTGTCTTGTAACCTGATATAATTATCACCTTAATTAAAATTTAAATTATAATATACTTGTAATTCACTTATTATAGTCTAATATAAATAATAATAATATAAGTTGAAATAGTATCACGATATGATTGAGTAGAGTATTATATACTATAGAATAAAAACTACATACCACACAGATAAGAAAATTATTTTTCTGTTACTTTCCTTCTTATTATTATATTTGAGTTTTTCCAGTTCAATAAAATTATTTGAAAGGAGTAGGCCAGTTATTTTCTTAACAATATAATTATTATATTTTATTTAAGTGCTGTGTTTTAAATTATAATATATTTTAGTGAATTATGTTAATATTTTGTAATGCCAGAAGCTATTCAACCAGGTGTTTATCAAATACTAAACAAAGGAGACGAATTTTGTAGCTGGGTAGATTTAGAGGAGGCCATAAAAAAAATCAGGAAGTATTTAGAAATAGTTTAATAAATGTGACATCCATTCAAAACAAACCTAATAAAATATATTGTGTTGTTTTAAACAATAGACTAATTTACAATTAATGACATACAAAATTATTTTGACAAATATAGCTGGGTTGCCCTTCAAAAAGTTGTGAAATTTTAAAAAGATTGAATCCAATATGGATTTGTAGTTCATGTATAAAAGAATCATCAACTGACTGTATATGTTGTAATCGGTGCCTGGAGTGGTTTCACTTCAAATGTGCTAATGTTAAACATTAATGTTAACATTAAAATAAAAAACTATATGTTTGCTAAAATTGAAAATTTCCATATGAAAATGAATCAACAATTAATGAGCAATTTAAATTTTTATGTTATTTTAATTTTAAATTTTAAGCTAACAATAATATAATAATGTATCTAACAATGATTAATGATCATTGTAATTATTATCAAAACATGGTAATCAAATCGGTGATAAGTTAAAAATTTGTTTATCAATATTTAGATATAGATAGATACGCATCGGATACTGAAATGACCACTTTCTAATATCTTATCTAAAAGTGTTAAATACATTTTGAATTTAATGTTTAAATTTATGATAGGATACTCTAATTTATTATACTCACTTAATATTGTAATTAATGAATTAACAAATGGTATTAATTAAGTAATTTAATATATACTAATATTAGTAAAAATAAAATAAAATACTACAAGAATAATAAAGAAATCTGAAAATTCAATAATCACAAATAGTCAAATTAATAACATTAAAAGGGCGTCACACTATCACAGTAACAGTGAAACGTATGTAACACTAGAGAGACAGCATTGTGCGCCATATCGCCGTCGTCACGTCAGGCCGTAACTACACCCACTACATCGCTGTCACAACGACCTGATCGCGGAGTTCGGCGGCCAGATTACAACAATGGAACTATAAGATAACGTGTCTTACAAATCAATGGTTACAACCACACTGGTTTAAGCTATGATAATGCTTCTTTCGACAACGACTATCGAGGTGGATAAAAACAATTTAATTTATAAATACGATTTGAAATCTTATTTATGTTTTTTGATATATTTTTAAGACTAACGTGTTAACCTAATAAAATTTTTACTTAAAAAAGAGTATATATAAAAGATAAAGTTTGAAGATCATTTTTATATTGTGTGTAATTTATTTATTTAGTATACCACGGGTATCTACATTCTACTTCTACTTGATAGATAACCAGTGTGGACAACCCACAGATATAAAAGGCAGATAGCCGACTTCATACAATTATGATGCCCAGCGTCATTTGTCACTTGGGCAATGTTTACTAATTCTTCAGTCTCCAAACAATATTTTATAATTATGTAATTTATGGTTATTCAATTTATCTGTGATTAGGACAGCATAAAAATGATAAGAGTTTGTAAACATTGTCCAAGTGACAAACTACAAACTAGAATAATCACTCAAAAATGTTTTTTTTCTCGTACTTCGACGGAACACTCATACTATCAATTATTATTATAATTAAAAGATGTAAGTATTCAATTGTGACTGTTACCGTCTGGAGTGTAAAAAATAAAATTCTAGGAAATTTTTAAATATATTCGAAACTTTTTTTATGATATTATCGAAACTTTTGAAATTTTGATCTGGCAACCTAAACCCTGCCGCCGCCACTTTCGCATGGAAGCGCTTTATATTATTTTATAAGCAGTCGTGCTGTTGACATTTCAACGTAATTAAAATTTTCCTTAGAGGTGCTTATAAACCAAAGCGGCAGCGATAGCAGTAGTGAAATTTCCGCGGTAACGGGACGAATTAAAAAATCGCTGAACTAATCTAACCAAAGCGAAATATTACAGCGAAATCGAGTGATAGTAGTTGTAGGTATTCTATGATATTTCATTTTGAACTTGTTTTAATTTTCGATATCTATATTATATACTACGGACCACTACGTTTGGTGTATATTTTTTATTTGCACGTGTGACTTACTTTTCTATCTTACACTTGCCTGATCGGTATTTATTTATTTCACATTTTTATCATAATGGACAATCAATTCAGTGGCATGCATTTTTAATGGGAGAGAATGTAATAAATAAAAATCATGAATAAAGAGTAAAATCGTCTTCTTTGCCCAACTCGACTATGGGAATAAGTAATTTAAAAGCCGGATCCTAAAAAGAGCCAATTTCTTATCAATATATCAAGCTTTTCCTCAGAAATCGACTGAAATTTATGTTTCATTATTATATTGCTCATATTTGGTTGTATTATTAAGCCAATGGAGAGGGGGATATAACCTCTAACCTCCCCCCTCCCCTGTGTACGCCACTAACAATCATTATATTGATGGTGATCATAATACTTTAATATTTTATACAAACGTATAATGAACAAACTAAATGAATATTGGTAATACTACCTATATAATACTAACTAGTACCTATAATAATTTTAGAACATACTTAAATAGGTATACAGATAAAAATGTCTTTGCTGATATTACAAAATGTTTACTCCACAACAAGGACGCCCGCAGGGGGATGCCGGTGGTGACCATGGCTCACTCTACTATTTTAGTTAGTAATTGTTTTATAACAAATTGTAATATTAAATTATACTAATAAACAAAAAAACAAAATTCAGTGTTTCGGTAAATTTCATTTTTCGCACGAGCCTGGATTGAGGGAGGGGGGGCAGGGAGAGACATGGCCTCCTGGTTACCAGATTCCCAGGGCCTCAGTTTTTGTTATAGTATGTTCTTTATGTATGCATTTAACCATTAACTTAGTACTTTGATATTTTAATATATTTTCGTTACCTGATGATGACTTATTCATATTATTATATATAGTAGAAACTACTAGTTAAAAATAATTTATTTATTTAAATAATATTTGTGGCTTTTTAATTGAGATCTATATAATGTCTTTAATATGTATTATTTTTATTTTGTTTAAAAATATTAATTAGTTAATATTTTTAAAAAATGTATATTATTAGTCTTTCAAAGAGAACCTTGTTGAAAAGATTTGCCTTGGAAAATTTAAATGTCTTATTCCAAGGTTGTTTTTGCATATATCCAATATGGTGTTATTCATTAATATACTATAATATTTTAAGGATATTACAGTTATCTTCACTTATTATTTTCGGTAAATATTTGTTTTACAAGTTGTTATCATGTAATATTTACATAATGTAACGGCCATTATACTGACCGGCGATTATCTTCAACCCCACGGCGTGCCATTTTCTGTGGTCCTTTACATAATGAAAAATATTAAGTATATTAATGGCCTTATCGTTTCAATTATTAAAATGTGTTTATCAATACTATAAGCAGTTGAAAACTTACTTCCAAGGTGTTTAAAGGCATTTTTTTCCAATCCTCTACGTCGACGTCTCTAAATCGCGGCACGTTACGATTTGATCTTGGCATATGTAATCCAACGTCTTTATTGTGTTGGTAAATTTTTTTTTTTAAATTTTTCCCATGTTCATGATAATCACAGATAATACTCGTGCCGAATGGTATCTTGTTGAAGGATATACCCAATTTGTTCGCGTCCGTCATGGTCTCTTTACAATATTCCTTCTCGATCTTCTCGAGAATCGTTAGTTTTCTTTTTCCTTTTTTGATCTTCTACATAATATGAGTAGGTATTAACAAAAATAAATGTTCACATTTTACATATAAAGTTAGTGCTGCAGTATTCATAAGTGTCCATATTACCTTATACGTCTTTTTCTGGTTCTGTACGATTAACTCACCCAACGCTTTCCTTTGTATTACGACGGGATGATCTAAAACATGTCTGTTGACAAGCGACGGATCCAATATTCCACACAACACCATCTTTGTTTCCCATGACATAAGTTTTTTCTGTAATAATAATAGTATACAAGTATTTGTATTTGTATTAGACATATTGCGCCATAATAGTCTACTTAGCAAGATAATAGAAGGGGGCCATTGGGGGGAATAAAGGCAGAGAGTGACCGCTACTGGACTACATTAGGCAAATAAAGAGATATGGACTGCGGATTTTATTGTGAATTATAAAGAAAATCGGAGAAGTGTTAGGAGTGGAATATTGTTGCCAACCAGCCTTAAGGTTGTTAACACAAGAAGATACAAGTATTTATTTGACAATTGGAAACAGTTCATTTACCCTTAAATTGAACATAGCATTTATCGTCATGTGCATATCCCTTTTTTCGGCTTTCAGACGAAAGTCATCCATGGCCGTTCTATCTTTAAACGATATCATACCGTTCGGTACAAGTTGTGTTAATTTGTTGTCCAATTGTCTATCATACCTAAAGAAAATATGTATCAAGGTAACAAATGAACATTTAAATGTTAATATAGTATATATTTACCATCCTAATTTAAAATTCATTTTCCCAGTCATTTTTTGAATTTTTTGAACAAATCTTTAGTATTAATATTAAATTATATCAAATATGTTTGTAAAACTTAATTAAAATAATGACAGTATACTTGATAAATATAGAAACAAGGAACATTATACTAATATGTAAGTAACTAAAATAAATATTTATTTTTATTAAACAAAAATCTCTAAGGAAAAATAAAATAACTTTTAGAGGAATAAATCAATAAGTTATTAAATAAGGTTGAAATATATTATAGATTCGAGTATAAAAGGAAGCTAATTATTTATTTTTCTCAGAAACCATTTTTTTGTATAGTTAAAACAAATTCCTTATTTTTAATGACATACCCTGCGATATACCATAGTGCCAAAAATGCGATTTTTTCACCTGATGGTACTCAATTTGAATCATTTATCGACATTTTCAACAGTTCAGCAATTTAAATTTGCGAAAAACTAAAACTTCAGAACATTAGTCGAATGACTAGTGTGTGAATACTGAATAGGTAGGTACACACTAGTTGTTTTAATCACATACCGCGTAGAACTATCAACCATAACTAAATACAGTGGAACCTCGATAACTCGAATTGGTTGGGGGCGAAAAAAAAATTCGAGTTATCGAAAATTCGACTTATAGAGGTTCGAGTTATCGAGGTTCCACTCCACTCGAGGTATATAATAATCGCTTCCCCAGCAAAATGATTTTCAACAATTTTTTTTGTTGGATACCAATTTTTCTGTGCTAAATTACATAAGTTGGAGTGTTTCTCTTGTGTAGAAAAATAAAAACAACATGATCGAGATAAAATCGTACTCTGTAAACTGATCAACTAGTACATAAAGTAAATCATGGGAATCAACCCTCCATACCGTACAGTTTAATGTGTGTACAAATACACAAAATTTAGTGCTCAAGGTTCAAGGTTTCTAATCTGTTTATTCTATTTATATTAATTGTATAATTGGACTCGATAGCCGGCGGAATCAATACGTAAACATGTCCGGTAGAGTCAATAACTGGCGGAATCGTTAAATCCCCCATCGGTTGTAATACTTGAACAAATTTTACAACAAAGGCAAAATATCTGCTATATTGAGTGTGCTATCGTCACGATAGCGGCGTGGCGGCGGCGCCACGTCGTTAGAATTATAAAACTATAAAAGGCCACTCTTCGAGCTAAACTCGAGCGCGACCAATTATATCAATATTGTTATAATTATAAAAGGAAATGAGAATACATTTTATAGTGTTCAAATTTGTTCGTCCCATATTTATCGGCCCGACCGAACCAGCAGGACATTGTTCAGATCCAAGACCCCTCGACCGTATCGTATACATATAATACAAGTATTATAAATTATAATAAAGATATCTGGTACCTACCCGGCATGTCAATACTTCGATTTATAAACGACAATAAAACGCGTCACATTGTCGGTGTTATTTATGATAAGTTTTTTTTTTTTATAAATAAATATAAATATAATATGAAAAAACCGAGCCATACACCCAAACCTTCGGCTAAGTACATCTGAATACCTACAAGGCCAATGCAAACACACAAATCGGTGTCACTAAAACAAACCGGTTTATAATATTGAGTTTTTTTTTTATGGGGAATGTTTTTTTCTGTAAAGTGTTCTGTACAAACTCAAGATTTCTACGATTAATTTTAATCGAATTACAACAAAAAAATAAAAATAAAAACAATGAAATTGTTAACAATGGCGTACGTTATCCGTTTTTCTAAGCAAATGGTTTAGTAGTTGAAGAACTTTGGAAGATAATATTTTGTATATTAGTTCTGAAGGATATCGTATGTCGTGTATCATATATTGTACATTGTAATTTTCCATCTGTACTCCACTTAAATGTTTTTACCTAATAATTGTTTACTTATTTAATTATTCATCTGTGTATTTAGTATTTACCTATTTATTCAACACATTAACGGATATTACTGCTACAGCAGTAATATGTAAAATGTCATATTACGTCAATACTGCTGAATCAGTAATCTTTCCAATAGTATTAAATCATAGAAAACAGTGGACTGCCACATTACGGCAGTCTACACTGACAATTTACATAGATTTTGGATGTATTGGTATAGCACTACTAATATAACAGAGAAAATTATATTTCAAGTGTCCGTCGATGTGATAATTATTTATGTTTATCTATAGGTACGTTATGTGAATTATTATCACTAACACCACGGTTAAAAAAAGTTACTATAATATATACTTTTGTATTGATTAAGTCAAATATGTCATGTCGTACATGACAACCTATAATTTAGGTTGCCCGCTGAATTTTTTAAAATAAAGTTGCTTCTCTTTTTGGTCCTCTGGGGATGGGTATACGTATGCTATGATTGTTGGTGGAAAGTCGAGAAGGTAGGATACATACAGTTAATTAATGTATATCTATAGGAGAACAATAAACCATTGCTAAAGAAAGACTATTTTTTTTGGTTATACATGTTTGAAAATTCCGTTATTTTTTATAATTTATTCAACATTTTATCTTAAAACAATTATAAAAAAAAAGACGTCCTAGGATAATGAAGACGGGTGCAGCCACTGTTATAGGTAATTTAAAGTATATTTGTAAGCAACGACAAGCCATTGCTAACGAAAAAACTATTCTGAGTGCAGTTCAGTTGATAATAATGCTTTGTCAACAATATACATATATTTATATATGTTATATTATAGTAAAATAATTAAATAGGCATTATATATTTTCGTTAATAATATTTGTTTAATATTTTATCGACTTTCCCGGTTTTCCCATGTTTTCCTGGTTTTTCACATTTACTGGGAAAACTCTTGGAAAAATCGAAAAATTACCTTCCTAAAGTGCCTTCATAGTCAGATTTCCTTTCAGAAAAAGTGCTATCATTTTAAATTGGAAAGAAATTTCTGGTAGAAAAGTTTGCACCAAAAATTGAGGGGTATTTTGTGATTAAATTAGTCTGAGCGAGCGATGGCTTGAGTTTTTAAGTACACCCAAAATGCATTTGTTTTTTCTTGTTTACTTAAAAGGGAAAAAATGCAAACAATTTTTTTATGGTTTTATGATTTTATTGGATTTATGGTTGAATTTTTGTATATAGGATTAATAAAAAAAATAATAAACATCCTAGTAAAACCAATACACATTCTTCGCTACAGTCAAAATCTAAAAAAAAAAATATATACATATATATTATATTATATATATATATATATATATATAACAAATATTATTAAAGAAAATGTATAATTTATGTGCATTTATTTCATCATAATATGACAGGAATATATTGATATATTGTTGACAAAACAACATTATCAACCGAACTCCGCTCAGAATCGTTTTTTCGTTAGCAATGGTTCGTCGCTTCTTACATATATACATTCAATTTCTCCTCTACTACTATCCCAACTTCTCACTTATAACAGTGGCTGCCCCCATAAATTTTTATTTTGGAATTCATTACAGTCCGGTCTGGTAGGTTCGAGTCTTCTATCGGCCCTGGATTATCTCTATTATCTGTGCCCTGGAGTAATCATGTTCGACGAAACGTTTCAAAAACAGACGACGGAAACAGATAACACAGTGATAAAATATAATTTTACGCATAATTTTGTATATTAACTGAACATTTACACATTAACATTAACACAAACACAAACTGAATATTAAATTTTATTATTTTTGGTAATGGATCCCAAATAAATATGTTGGATTATTTTTATAATAAAACCGAGAAATCTATTTAATTCGCATTTCCCTTTGATCCGGTTACAATGCATATATAGGTATCCCTGTAAGAAGTAATCTTTTTTAACAGCTCCCATAACAAAAAATAATAAATCGGCCATATACCCACATTGTCCAATTGTCGGCAGTAAATTTGTATTATAGCCGTTTTCAATAATTCCGACCGCTACAACTTCGCTATACATATTATAACACAACAGGTTTAGTGCGGGTACGGCCAGCGAAACTGGCGGTAAACATTCGTAAAGCCATTGGTTCTCAATATTTCTTTGAGTGGCGACGCGATTTTTAAAATAAAATGACATAATGATATTGCAGACGATGTTTACCAACTAAAAGTGCCAGAAAACTGAAGAGGGGATTTTTGTCGTATACGGGCGTGTCACAATGTTGCTCGTGTTTTTCTATACACACCTGCCACTTATTGCCGGCCACAATCCATTGAATGTACATAATACATATTGTGTTGCGTACAGACTACCTAGGTCCCCCTTTATTTTTCTCTCACCTCAGTATTCAACTCTCTACACTTCGTGTAACAGGTGACCATGTATGACTGGCCTTTGATTTTAGCGGATTATGAATTTATTGTACGACTGTTTTTATTTAGTATTTTGCTGTGTAATTTTTCTATTTGTTGTAAATTGTTTATTTAAAAATGTCGATTCGTACAGACATTCTCAAATTAATAAATTAACATCTACCTATATATCGCTTGTACAACATTAAAAATATGTTGTCGAAAAATTACGATTAGCTGAAAGTAGCAGAGTTTTTCGACAAACTCAGAAGATGACCGCTGAAGCTTGTGATATTATTGTGTGTATATTTATTTTTTTTCCAGTAACCTTTACAATGCCCATTCCCATACGCGACTATACGTCGGAAATAATATTGTTTTGTTTAAGGTATGGTCCTCATCGGGTAGAGGCGCTTGCATCTTCGTAGTTATCTACAAACTACGAATCAAATGGTGATTATAAGTGAGTACTGAGTTACCGAGTTCACATTTTCGCTATGTGCGGGCGCTCTAGACACGTGTTCAGTGCGTCCAGACATAATATTTGTGTTTATTTTATAATTATATTATACCGCATTATACTTTTAACAGTTAAAACGAACCCACACTAACACATTTTCGTTCATCAGTTTGATTTTTTTGGACGAAAATTCTCCGCGAATCCATGACTCGACGGACAAGTGACACTACAATAGACAATATAGCGTGAAGCAATGTAATAATATTAGTATACCAAGGTAATATTATATATTTTAGAAATCCTTATCTATAACATTTAACCTAAAAGCTACAACGGTTTAAGGATAAAATGGATAATATTAATTGTATTTTTATTTGTTTCTACATTTTAAGCAGGTAACAAATAATAAATTCTAACTCACAGTTTCAAATAGATCTCTGGTCCCAGGAAAGAAGGGCTTAATTATTTTTAATATTTTTTTTTTTTTTTTTTACAATTTTGCCTAACCTAATATTTTCCATAAGTTTTTAAAATATTTATAATATTATTTGACGTATTATAGATACTTATAGATAAATCGTGCCTACTATTGATATTAAAGTTTTTTGAACACATTACATACGTACCTAAATCATACACAAATTTGGTAATAAATAATAATTAATTAATATTTTAGGTTTCAGTTTTCCTACCTAGATCTATCGAATATTTTACGTATATTATATATTATATTGTATTTAGTTAACAATAAAACAATAATTAATTAGTTAAGTTAAAAGTTAAAGGACAATTCAATCGAAATAATAGTTATTTTTTTTCTTATGAAATTTGTTCGGGATTCTATCACTAGCTACGGAGATTTGTAAATTATAATATCTATAGATAATATATACATAGATGGGACATACCATATTGTATTCAATTAGTGTTATCGAAGAGCATACAGGTTACCAAAGTGGTTACGTTTAATTTATGTGTGGTATCAACCATAAGTGATAACGAAAACACAATTCATCGATTACCGGCCATCTGGTGGTCACCCCAATAAATTTGAAAAATAATATTTATTATTTGGGTTAAAACTTAAATTGCGTATAACATTTGATCGTTTTATTTCTTTGAAAAATAACTCATTATGATAAAAAAAAAAAAAATGTATACAAATTTCTAATATAAAAATAACACAAGTTTCGAAATAATAATAATTAATGAAAACAGTTAGGTACATTATTGGTGTTTAAATAAAATTAATTTGGTGGTGTACTTAGATCTAATTTATGATTGTATATTCATTTATTTTATTTCGTGAAACATTCTTATGTCCAAGTTTTGTATATTATTATAAATTTGTCAATTGGTATCTATGAATACTATATATACATAAATATATATGTATATATATTTATTTTATATGTATCTGTGTATGAATATGATTATATGAGTACTTTGTTACTTAAAATAGTGGCAAATTAATAGTTAATTAGAAAAATAAAAAAGATTGGCAAAATTGATAAAAATGTTGTTTATCATAAATCATTTGTAATTGCATATAACCATTATGGTAACCAGTAGGCTCACAGTATACCGTATATAATAGGTATAGGGATGTCCCATGGGATTATCAGTTTTTATGTACATAAATAATATTAACTATAATCACAGTATAATAGAAGTTAATAATTTTAGATTATCAGCTTAGCGAATAGCGAGGAATCTGTTTCACCAGAAGTTTGATGTTTTTTTTTTTCAAATTTTTATTTTTACGTGTATATACAACATTTCGGCTAATTTTATGCTCAACGTTTACTATCAGAAATCTTGCTCCAAACGATAAAATACAAATCCTTTTTTGTTGCATTTTGGGTCTATGTAGTTGGTGAGTAAGAACATAGTTTTTTGATATTCTTTGTAGTTTTCTTAATAATTTATTAAAACATGGAAAGACCGGGTGTGTTCACTGAAATAATTGTTTTATTATTTAATTAAAATTTGTACAGATTGGCCTTTTAACATTTTCAAAGTATTCTGAAAATATTTTTGAGCTATTTATAGGCATTTTATAATGGTTTTTTTCATAGATAGTTTTCATTTGGTAGATATTATGTCATATAGACAGTATTGGTTAAGTTATTTTTAAAACTTAATTAAATTATTTTACTTGTTATTTAGAGACAGTGTTGAACCCAGACTTTTTTTCTGGGGGAGGGGGAAGCATTACTAAAATTATAGCAATGAATTTTTTTTTCTAATCTCTGCCATATACCTGGATTCAATACTGCTCGAGAGATAAGGTTACATTACTTATGAATCAAATAAAATTACTTTATTCTTTAATGAGAAAAGTAGGTAGGTAATAAGTCGTACGTGTTACTTTCTTGTACAAAAAAAATTGTTAATTGTAGGTACTTGGAAGATATTTCATAAAAATTGATAGGTATGTTTTTTGTAAAATATCAAACAATTTTTTCAAGTATTCTATTACCTATTAATAGCAAACAAATTATTTAAAATACATATAATTAATATCAAAATTAAATATTACAATATGTGCCATGCATTAATCAATTACAAAATCTTTATCTATTTATTAAATCTATGTCGGTAATATCACATATTTTTAGAACTTTTTCTTTGTTATTTTTTAATTGGACAGTGAACAGCTCTTAAAGTGGAATTCCAATAGATCGTATTAAGAATTTGAATATATGCATTAATCGTGTCATGAATTTTATCATGAATTTTGCTCAATCTATCTTGCTTATTCCAAAGTCCTTACATCGTTTCAAAAGTTAATCTTGCTTGTTTCATATATGTTGTATCAGAAAATGCACCTCCGCTATTTTTTGTAGCAAAAAGACTAGCATATCTATGATAAGGTGGTAAAATATTTTGTAATATCTTATTGATAATGATAATCATTTAATATATTCATATATTTAAAAGCTGCTAAGCAATTTATCATATTAAATAATATTTGATATTAAATGAAAACTATATAATATACATTTTTATTTACTTATTTTAATGACAAATTTAAACAATTTAGATCAAATTAGAGCACAGACATAAAGCTTATGTTTACATAAATGCTTTAACAAAATGTGATGCATTATTGTTCACCACTCAAGTAATTTTATTTGTGATTCTATATTCACAGTATACTTTACGAATAATTTTGGTAACAATATCAAAGGTGTAATACAATTACACACTAAACCTGTAGACTTTCATAATAAATTGTAATTAAATTAACAAACTATCATTCCAATATAGTTTTCTTACAAATATTAAAAATTGTGAAATTTTTAATGTAAAATTGTATTTTGTTTTTAAATTTTGCTTTTGTAAAAAGACTAACCATCAGTAGTGTACTAGTTATAGTACACAGACATATTTTAAAGCCATTTTTGATATATTTAAATTTCTAAACAAGACATGTAATCTTAAATTGTAATACTTCACAAGCTTATTTTTTGTTTAAAAATTAAAATATCAAAAAAATAATTTAATAATACATAATAAATAGCACACAGTTGTTCAGTGTGAACGCAAATTTACTATTTCACATGTTTATATGTCCTTTTGCTCGCAATAATATACTATATGGAAATAGTGATACTGTTCAGTAAAATCAACTAATTTAATTTATTTTTTTAATTTATTTAGGGAAATATTCTTCAGACTGCATTGAAATCCGTTAATATTCAATATATTAATAATATATAATTATAATATTAATTTTATCAATATTTTATTTTCAATATGACTGTTTTAAAAAAATTTTAATTTAACTATTTAAGTAGGACTTGCATAGGAAATTTGTCCTTAAATTATGAAAATTACACTTTTATTTGTATATATTTTTAATAGTATTCATTAGTTACATGGAAAAAAAAATTATTTTAGGTTTACTTTTTATTAAATTCAATAACTGTTTCCGAAAGAAGACTCGCTTTTCTTTGTGTTTTTCTTTAATACTGTGCTTGGTTTTAAGTCTGGTAATATAATTAGTGATCTAATATTATTAATAATAGGTATAATAAGTATTAATTTTACTTTATGTTTTTTAGCGTTGATCCAAATTTCATAGATTAGACAAGAATTACAACCTTGGATATTCTATCAAACACTACATGCAAAAACCAAGAAATTGACTTTAAAGAGATTTGATGTAATTATTTGTTCATCACTAGATATCTATTATGAATATTTGGTATGCTTTAAAATATAGATAAATAATAATTTTTAATATACCTTGTTTCTTGTTATTGCATTGCTATTTAAAAATCAAAAGTGGGCAGTAGATTAACCCTTAAAATTAAAAATAACAGGACCGTAACATTTTAAAGCTATTTGTTTTGTAAGTATATAAGTAAATAGTTTCTGAGATAATGAGTTTTATTGAGGATTGATTACATTGTAAATTTATATTAAAACTTAATAAAACGTATTTTCCATACCTGAACCTTGTGGTTTGTTTTTAATTAAAATGCAGGTTGTAGATACATATTTTTTTCTAAGTGGTTATCATAGTAATTGGGAAAAATAAGAAAACCGAGAAAATTTAATATTTAACAATTTAAGAAAATCATTTTTAATTGAAAAACGAGATAATTTACAGCATTAAAGGTTGTATTATATTATATTTTGTTTATTTTAGATTCTGAGTGGAACCAGGTATTGGATGTATTGGAATGTATTGGTTTTACAATGTTAATTTTTTAAAAATTTTTTTAACATGAACACTTTTTCAACCAGCAAGCATACTCTGATTATCAAGTACAGCACCATTTCTGAAAGGAAATTTTCTCTGGGTGGTACTTTAGAGAGGTTTTTTTTTTAAATTCTCATTAATATTGGAGATAATGAGTAAAATCGGTTTTAAGGTTAAAAAAAAAAGATTAAAAATATGGTTGTCATTGGCAACTGTTTTTATTTACTTTTTGTTATAAGTTTTTATTATTTTAATCTTTTTTAAACAATCATTGTTGTCATGGAAATGCACATTTTTGTTATTATTTTACCATAGTATGACATATTATATATTTTTGACAAAGCAGCACTATAAACTGAACTCCGCTCAGAATCGATTTTTCCTTAGCAATGGTTTATTGTTGCTTACAAATATACATTAAATTCCTGTCTGTAGCCCACCTTCCCAATTTCCCTTCTATAACTATCCTGCATCCACTTGCGAAGTATGTTAGTCCATTTTTACTTGTTATTTGGTTAAAATAATTGCAGAGATTTGAAATTTTCATAAAATTTTTGAGTATACTTAGCATTTTCAAGAAGTGACAATATTTTCAAAACATTGATAATTTAATACGTGGTTCTTTTTAAGTTTAACTTAATGGACAAAAATCAAAATTTAAGATTAATGAATTGTATTTTTAGAAATCAATCACCAAAGGTCCAAAATTAGGACATGTATGTACTTTTCTCTTAACAACTTGTGGCTGTTAAAATATATAACATACACATAGTTTAATTAGAATTAGAATTTTTATTGGGACGGCACATTTTAGATTCTTAGGTATGCATCTATGAAAGGGTGGGTAGGTGCAATGCTATTTAGTATTTTTATTTCTTACCACACAAAATAAAAATAGTTCATTATTACTATACATAATAATAACATAATATTATATTGTTATAGATGGATGACAAATTTTTTTGAGAAACACCTTGGACTATCACAAACTCCATTGGGATGGTTTCCCATATGGGTTTTGTATCATCACAATCAATTTACTATCACAAAATCCATGCAATGTTCTATACAAGTACAACACTTGATTTGTAAATGAATCAGCTATTGTATGTGTATGTTTTATATCTTGATATAAGAATTATATGCGTTTTGTTATTTGGAAACAAGAATTACCAAATTTTATTAATTGTTTTCCTATTGAACTAATAATTATTATTAATGCTAAGTGAGTCAATTTGCCATCTTATCTCAAAAATCTTGTAAAAACAGATTATATACATATCTGACATAATTTAAAAATGTAAACTGAGTACAATCAAAGATAATAAATTCAATGTAAATCAATATTCAGCTGATAGAATAAATTGTATAGATTTGACTGTTGTTAAAAATGGCACTTTACTATTTTGTTAAAATAATTTTATGAAAAATTAAATTATTTCATTTATTTAAGATACTTTAAAAGTGAAAATTTTTTTGAATTTTTATCTTTTTAAAAAAAAAAAACTAAATCAATTATTATTCCTTATGACTATTATGTATCACAGACATACATCTTATATTTTCTCAAGCATTTTTAGTACTACTAATAGAGGTACTTTTTATTTAATATGTGTTTCTTTAAAAAAAGTTATCCTAAATTTTAATGAAAATTAAGACCATTAAAATAATCTGATAATGATGATATACAAACCTTAATTTGTGGGGAGACAAGCTATTTTACTTTTATTCAGTTTTTGGGTCACTTAGAGTAAAAACTTAAATCTATTACATAAAACAATTATAAAAAAATACCAAAACTTAACTCAAGAACTTTTTTCCAGGGGACAAAAGAAAAATAGTGATTTTATCAGTGATACAATTTTTGAAATTGCCATCATAATATTATACAGAATGATTCATTTTTAAATAACATTAATTAAAAACAAAAAAAAAATAAAAATATTTTCCCAGATATTTAGTTTCTCACTGAGAATTGATACCATGTATATGAACCATCCAGAAATAGTTTATGCATATCTAAATTTATTAATTAAGAATATCACAGATATATATATACATAGTTAACTTGTGTATTCTTTTTAATCCTTGTAGTTGTGTTCATCACTTCATACTCAGTATACTAAAGTCTGTATTTCTTTAGAACTTATTAAGTTCCTAATAAATCCATGCATTCATTTATTGTAAAAACATATCAAAATAAATAGGATACATTAAATATTTTTTTATTATAATAGTGTATGTGTTGATTCCCAATCAAATTAATGTATATTATTATATTATAATGTAAATAGTTCTTTTAAGTTTCTTTTAGTTAGTTTTGCTCACACAAACAATTTTATAAGTGCTGTAGTAGTTACTTATCAGTAATAAATAAATGCCTGCATTTATAATATATAATAATTTTTAAATTTGTTTTGATCATGAAAATAAATTATAAGGGTTGTGATAGATACCAATTATTTAATAAATAAATGCCTGCATTAATTTTTTTTAATTATTAATTCATTGTATATATATTTTTTTAAATTAATTATATTATTCATTATAATGAAAAAAAAAAAAAAATACTATGTGTGTTAACTGTTCATGAATATTGTACTTTTTTATTTTTATTTGTTTTGCTCATACAAATTATTTACAGTGGCTGTGATAGTTACTTATTAAGTAATAAATAAGTGCCTGTATTAATTTTATAATTATTCATGTATTGTATATATTTTTAAATTTGATAAGCTAGATTAATTAATTGGTTTTTTTGTTTATTATAATATGTTGATTACAGATGAAAATTAATGTATATTGTACTATATAATATAGTTCTTTTTTGGGTTTTTAAAATTTGTTTTTCTCATACAAACAATTTTAAAATTTGTTTTTCTCATACAAACAATTTACAAGGGCTGTGATAGTTACTTATTAAGTAATAAATAAGTGCCTGTATTAGTTTTAAAATTTTAATAATAAACAAGATAAATAAATTATATTGCTCACCATAATAATATTATCTTGGTTGATTGTTCATAAAAATGAATATAGATGTAGTTTTTTTTTAAATTTGTTTTGCTCATACAAATTATTTACAATGGCTGTGATAGTTACTTATTAAGTAATAAATAAGTGCCTGTATTAATTTTAAAATTTTAATAATAAACAAGATAAATAAANATATGTTGATTACAGATGAAAATTAATGTATATTGTACTATATAATATAGTTCTTTTTTGGGTTTTTAAAATTTGTTTTGCTCATACAAACAATTTACAAGAGCTGTATTAGTTACTTACTAAGTAATAAATAAATGCTTGTATTAAATTTATAACTATGAATTCATTGTATTTACATTTTTAAATAAATAAGATAAATTAATCTTTTTGCTCATCATACTATTTGTATAATATTAAATTTATATTGCTTTATATGTAGTACTATTTTGTTATGTGTTTTTTTTCTTCATAAATTGCTATACATTATGAACAGTTGTTATTATGGTGTATTTTATTTCAACTAACAAATTGTAAGAGTAATTCTATTTATAAATAATGGAAAACATGCAATAAAAATCATCAGTTTCGTGTTACACTAGTAGAAGAGATGTTAGTTACCAATATTTAACCACATTGCCCATCAAGAAAATTTGGTTTAAATTATTTATTTCTAATTATAAATTTGATATTTTTGTTGTTTATATATTGGCTATTATAATATGGACAAACAACATTCAAGTAAGTAGACATTATTTTATTTTTAATCCAAATAATTTATTATATTAATATTATACAATATTGTACTCATATACACATATTATAGAGATAATGATATAGTTATTGTAAATGTGTACTTTACTGCTGTAAAACAGTTATTAGTTTTACTGTGAAAATACAATATCTATTGATTAAATAAATTATGACTACTAGAATGGAAAATTGTTTTAGAATATCTAAATGCATAGGTATTATTTCATATTTGCATTTACTTTCATTAGGTATTTTAATTTTTAATACCTTATCAGTGATTTTATTTTGTTTTAAATTAGCTTAACTTATTAATTTAAGTTAAATTAAGTTAATAATATATTTTAAATTGATCAATTTAAAAAATATTAACTTGCCTAGCCTTATAGTTATACCTATTTAATTATATAGGTACCCAAAAATATATGTTCCAGCTATTCAAAAAGTGACTGCACCCATGATCCATTATCCTAAGACATTATTTTTTACACTGTGCACAGAACTTCTATCAGAAATCTTTCACTGAAATATTAAGTATAGCACCTTTTGTGAAAGATAATTTTCCTGGGGTAGTGCTTTTGGGATATTATTTTTTGATTTTTCTAATAAAAGGGAAAAACTGGGAAAATATTTTAAAGGATAGTTAATTAGTAATGTGAGGGATTAAATAATGTGAAAAAAACATTGATTGACTCTCTTATGGAGACGTGGAGTAAATTTATTAAGTAACACTAATTGAAATTTTACTTACTGAGCATACAATATTTACTACTTTATCCATCATATCATTTTGTTTTTAAATTGCATCAACTTGAAAATATAAATCACAAATAACATAATTTGTGTCCAAGTGATCAATACTATAGCATTAAACCATTCTTCCTTTAAACTTTGATGTTACAAATACAAATAGACTTTGTTTTATTACAACCAAATCAATAAATTTTATTAGGCAGTTTTAGCATCATTTTTATTGTATTATAATAGGACAAATAAATCAGGATTAAAAAATAAAAATGCAATTTGACATTGTACAAAGTATATTTATTTTAAAAACAAATGGTTATGTACTTTATTATAATATTATAGTTATAAATAGTCTTTAAATGTATTATTATTATACAAATAATATTACATTATTCAAATGTATTATTGCTATTCAGATCCCTTTAATATTTGACAGTAATTTGATAATTCATTACTACAATTCTTAACCTCAAAACTTAATCTAACTAGCAGCATTCTTTAAAAATGTGATTATTATATTAAATTTATTTCAAATTACACATAAAAATAGGGCCTTATTTAACTGTATAATGTTATTTCATCACTATTAAAAAAATTAACTGGGAAGTTGGGAAGGCGGATTACATACTGGATTAAACTGTTCAATAAATAAAACACTAGGTACATTATACTTATTGTTTTACAATTTAAATTTTATATACTAATGAAGTTTTAAAATTATTAAATAGGTGATTTAAACAAAATAAAACAATTTGAATTTACGTGGTTACATATTTATATTACTTATTACAAACCGAACAAAAAAAAGGTGGCTGCACACCAATCTATAAATTGCAACTATAGAATATAGTTAGAATATAATATTTAAGAAAACTATTAATTATTATATGCTAAATTACAAACATATGTTATACACAATGTTTTATGTAAACTAGATAATTCTTATACAAATTATGTTTGTTGTACATTTTAAAGTTAATATTCCTAAAGGATCAAAGATTCAGTTTTGGTAGTATAATTATTTTAGTACTGTTAAGAACAAAAGTATTTATTTACATAAGTAAATTATATTATTTTCAATATTGAATTTATATTATAAATTTAAAAATATGTTTAATAATATAATATTTTAGATTTTAGATATTTTATTTTAGTTTATAATTTAAGATTCTGAGGAATGAATTGGTTCTAAAATAATGTTTATTTTATTTTCTTAGCATTATTGAAGTGTATTATTTTCAATTTTGTTTTATGCTGTCATTCAATTAAAAATATTTGTAAAGACTTTAAATTTGTACAGACAATTATATTTGTAATTTCTAGATGTGATAAAAATCTTCAGAACATTTTCATTATTTTTATTTAGTAATTTTTTGAGTTATTTTACATACATTTTATTCAGTAGGTACACTGGATAAAATTGTTAGACCAATTAGAAATGATTGGAGATTTAAGAGAGGTCCATTATAAGTCATAGTGTGTGGTAAAAAAAAAAAAACTAAGTATAATATAGAATTTTTTTTTTTAAGAATTTCAATATCAAATTTTGATGAAAATCATGATCAAGTTCATAAAATCAAATAAATTAATAAATTATTTAATAAGAAAAAACAATTAACATATTAAAAATCTGTTATAAATTATATACAATTTCAAAATTAAAATTAAACTTATTTTTTTTTCAGGGTTTTCCCAATTATTTCAAAACCCTTTAAGAAATCAAAAAATTTACTAAATAAGAAAAATCGTTTTTCAGAAAATGTAGTATAGTCCATACTTTGAAGCAAATATTTTGGTAGAAAACTTGTTCATAGACCGAAAAAATAAATACACACATCATAATAATAGAAAAAAACACACGCGCACACACACACACACACACACATCAAATATTTAAATGTTAAAAATATATGATACAATTTTTTAAAAATAACTTTAAGAATCATCATGTTTAATTGTTGATGTGTTAGGTAAAGTTATAAAGATAATTAATAATTATTTTGTAAAAATAAACACAAGCATGGCCATACTTCAATTATTTGTAAATTATAAAACCTAATCCCAAAACTAATCGCTATAATAATAATTAACACTATATCATTCTACAAAATAATCTGAAAATTCTACAAATAAAATTATAATGATACTTAATACATACCTATTTACACAGTGACACATTACTGTCATAATATCATTGACAAAGAATCAACTACCATTAATATACTATCTTATTATAAAGCCTTTTTTTTTTTTTTACATTTTACACATAGTATTTGTATTTTTAATGTTGACTGTCAGCTTCTCTTTGTCTTTGAAATGTCTATCATTTTTCAAATTTCTTTTAAGTACTAGTAAAATTAAATTTTTAATGGGTCTCTTTGTAAACACTAACAACTTCAAAATTACACTTGGTAACTCCACCTTATGTGTTGGCCTTTTAGTTTTTAATAAAAATAATTGACATTTCTTTATAACTAGATGATATGCTATCGAATTATGCAATACTACCATTATAATTATAATTTTACATAGTTTTATTGGCTATAACTATATTTTATCTAATACTTAAGGAACTCCATACATTGCCCAGATTTTTTTCACTGTCCATTGCTTTTATATCTCTGTTGTATTAGTTTATTCTTCCAATTTTAACTTTATTAAAAATATTAGTATCTCCTTCAACTAGACAACCACTATGTGATTTTTTTTTCTTTTGAATCATCTACATTGACATTCTTATTTACATCTTCTAAATTACCTAAATTACTAAAAGTTGTCAAGTGTGGTTTTGAAGTTGTTGGTATTAACAAGGAGACCTATTAAGAATTAAATTGTATTGGTGGTTAAAATAAATTTGAAAGATGATGGAGAAATTTCAGAGACACAGAAAAACTGGCAGTTAACAGATGAATAGGAATGTTTATCAAATTATTATGGACTGAATAATTTTAAATAATTTCTTTATTGATTTTGTCTAAATTTTAATTAACTATGATGAATGTGATTTTCTAATTCTTTGACTTGGTTTATTAAATTAAAATTTGTATTTTCATTATATAAAGTGCATAGCCAGAATGTTTAATATTTATTATTAAAATTTAATATACATAAATCTAGGATCCAAAATTTAATTTTTTTTGTTACTATTTGTATAGGAAATTAAAGTTCATTGATAAATTAACATGACATTAGGATATTACGATTTTAATTAAAAAGTACTAAAATTACTGTAGATTTAATTAGATAGTATTCTTAAATATATATGTTTATAATTTATTAATTTCAATAGACCATTAACTATTTGTTAATTCAACAAATACTAGTAATTGTATAGTAGTTAATGGTTATTTTGTAGTATGATTATTTAATGTCCTTCTATCTCCTTCATACATAGTTTTAATTATGTTAACTAATAAAATACAAAATCTTATTGCTATCAATTTACCTGCTAGCTTGAACTACTGAGAACTATCTTTAACAATTAGTTAAAGAATAAATCACAGTAATTTCAATATATTATGTACATTTAGTACACAAGTTTGTAGTTTTTTTTTTTTGTCCTTTAATACTTTTATTTGATAAATCTTTAAGGTTCTAGGGTAATAATATATACATTAATCTACATATATTGTTGACATGAAAGATTTAAGTATTCACCATTTTAACTATAAAACTAAAACCCTATGTATCTATTAAATGGATTAAAATTACAGTATCTATATAAAGCTGGGGAAAAAATGTTTGTGAAATAAATAATTTGTAAATCAATAACTTATAATTACCAAAAATTTGCACACATCACCAATACAACATACCTACATTCAATTAAAGTTTTTTAATGACAGTGATTTGGCAAATTTTTATGTAAAACACATGTAGATTCAATATCAGAATTGACTATAGGCTCCTGACATATATTATAATTTTGAAGTATACCACAAGCTCTAAACAAAACTTGGTTAGGGTCCTTAAGTATATGTTTTTTGCAAAAATTACTATAAGGTATCAATTCTTCTGTACATTTTATACCCATTTCTACAGATGAACAAAGTGGACGTTGTTTTTCCTTATTACCTGATAATTTAGTTGCTCTGAATTTTCTATCCATTGCTGTTTTAAAAACGACTGCCTCTTGCCCTGTTGGCAATTTTTGATATTGTTCTAACTGCTTAAGCTTTTGAAATTTTTGGTATTCTTCTTCAGTGGCCCATCTTGAGTTATTTAGTAGTCCATTTTCAGATGGCCCAGAATCACACTTCTTATTTATCAAGAATTCTCTACGCTTTTTCTGATACTTGAATAATAGATATCTATAAAACAAATTAAATAAATAAATACAATGTATTTAATTAAAACTTACAAGAACAATTTAACAATAAATTATATATATACTTGAATTCTTGTGCATACAACAATTGTAGCTTAACATATTTATCCCGTACCCTTCGTACAGCCTCTTTTTCCGATAGTATTGGCATATTGCTTAAAGGATCTGATTCGATTAAATCAGTTTCTTCCAATTCTGGAATTTGTTTATCCGATTCTACTGTAACAGTGTTAGTTGGTGGTTCGTCATCTAATGGTTTTGAATCATCTATATTTTGTATGTGTTTTTCTTCAAGAAGCTTTTTTGAGTCAATTTCATTAAATGGATTTAAACTTTTGTATTTAGGAGTATAATGATTAAATTCGTTTTTTAAGTTAATCTGCATTTTTCTTTCCATTTCCTCAAAATGTTCTGTGTAATAGTGAAAGTTATAATATGCTAATTATATCGTTATAATTAGCTTAGTTTAAATGTAATATTTAGAAAATTATTTTTCTGAGGTAATCTAAAGCAATAAAATATGTATACACATTAATGTAGGTAAGTGAAAAAATACCGTCAAATTTTGTCCGCTCAGTCTGTTATTATAGTTATTTATTCAAGAACACATTAAATGTAGACATATAATTTTGTAGTTTTGCAGGTGTAATAATAAATCACGATTTAAAATTGTAAATTACTAAAACCAATTACTGTAAAATTATCAAATACAAACAAACATATAACCTCAAATTTTTCATTCGATATTGTAGCTGGCGGAAACCATAGTACTTCCTCTCTGAGTGATTACACTACGGAAACGTTGGCGATCCTGCTGGCCACCATATGACGATGCCGACGGGTTGGTCGCGCTGCTGAGTGCATAAACACATAAAGATAACTACAAAATATTGCCGGGAAAATATCGCAACTAAAATATTGTGAAATCAATATATAGAATGGAATAAATATCGTTCGTATGAAATATAACTAAACAATTATAATATATATATTTATATATTTATATATTTCCGTGTTTTAATATGTATTTTTATTTGGTAGGTATATAGTAGGTATTAAAATATATGACATAAGGAATGCTTGAACATTTATCACAAGGTACATTATAAGTAATACTTAGAAGTCTAAAAAAACAAATTTGAGTTCTATACATTACTTTTTTCCACACTCATTTAAAAGTCAAATTTGAACGAAAACCGTAAAAATTTCAAAATATATATCACTGATCTTCGCTTTGAATCGGCTTTTATTAACAATGGTTTATCGTTACATACAGATATAAATTAAATAATTTTATGTATCCTACATACCCAACTTCTCACCTACAACAGTGGCTGTACCCGTCCACAGTATCAGTTCTTTTTTTTCTTTTTGTCTGTCTGTAAACAACTTATTGAAAAGAAATTTTACTTCGATGTAAAGAGTGTAGCACCTTTTTTGAAAGGTCATTTTCTTTGGTCTGTGCCTTAAAAGATAATTGTTTTTAGATTTTTCATAGTTTTCAAAATAATTAGTAAAAGCCGGAAAAAAAATTATAGGTAAAACGGCAAATATTTCGTTGTCGATGTCATTGTTTTGAATTTGTATGGTTTGTGTTTCCTACCATTTAGTAGCGTATCTAGGATTTTTCCAAGGGGGGGGGATGTAATAGCCATAAATATTCAATATAAAAATATATTTTTTAAACATATAATTATATATATATTACTGTACACAGTGATTTGTTTATCATGGACCACTTAATATTTATGTCTATCTAATATCTAATATCTAATATTTATCTAGGGGGTGTAAAAACAAAAAAAGTTGTGAAAAATTGAGATCACATTGTATAAAAACAATATGAAAAAAAACATTTTAATTTCTTATTAAACTCTATGCGATATTGAGTAGCCCATTATAAAACAAAAAATCACTCTGTAAACATATTACATGTTGACACAAATTCGGATTTTACATGAAACAAAGTCTAGTTTTCTTGAGGACAATGAAAGAATATCGAAAAAGAATTTCATTAGGTGTGATCGTTATATTTTTATGTACCGACAGCATGCAATGGCTATTTTGTCGATTCTAAAGACAAATAGAACATTAGGAACATTATAATCAACAGTAAGCGTAAAATTTGTTTAAAAATTTACCTAACCTGATGTCAGGGCCTGATTAACCAATATGTTGAAAAGGCCCGTATTGTTTCTTAAATACGTTTTTACTCATTTCAGCGTTGAAAAAGTTTTCTCGGGGGTCGCTGTCGAAACGGGTAACGTGCATACAATTTTTAATAATTTATTAATATTTAGAAAATTTGTTGAATCACACATCAAAAATACTTCATAACTGTTTTTTTGAACAACATTGAGCGTGGCAAGTTTAACTTTCCACATTTTTAATTCTGCTATTGAGTTATTGAATATATAATTGAGGAAGGCACAAAGTTTTGAATTTGTTTTCAAATAATAATTGATGTAGTAATGTAATAATGTAGTAATTTGTTTTGTAAGCGCTTTAAGTTCAAATTTTAATGAAAATATATGTTGATAAAAATATATAAAATATATATATATATATATAAAATATATGTGACAGATCCTAGGGTTGTTTAAAAGAGTAGGATTTTATTTAAAAAAGTATATATTAAATAAACAATAAAGGTATTATATAATACAAAAATTGTATAAAATAAATAAATGGTCCAAAATAACTGCCATGGTACTCCCCTTGTATCCTCCACTGCGTCCTGTGCCTTCCACTTCAAACAAATAGTAAAGGTACACATACATTTCTGAAAAATTAGTTAAGGTATTCATTCCATTCCCTTGTGTCCTCCTTAATTCGAGCACTGAATACATGATCAAAACTTGAATGGTAAATTCTCTTATAGTTATAAAAATACATAAAATTGTTCAAATTCTTTAACTGAATACATAATTTTTGTTTATTTTAAGTATCAGTGCTAACTAGTGGAATTAACCAGCAGTTTAAAGCCTTACAGGACATTGTAAGAACAGCCTTTAAAATTGTAAAAATGTTTAAGATTATAACTAATTATAACTATTTAAGACTGAGAATTGTTACTTTTTTTTTGTTATTATTACTAATTGTAATTTTTTTATTTAACTAAGGCTATCAATTGTCACTTTTTAGTTTTTTTTTATTGCTAGATATATACTATTGACAACATCCTGATAAATGAATATATTAATATATTATAATAACCATGTTGAAAATAAATAATATTTATAAAAAGTTACAATAATAAATAAATAAAAACATAACTATTTATACTGGAATACAAATAAAAAATTCAAAACAAAATTGTTTGTATTAGTAATAATAAAGATATTTTATACTAAGGATAAATTATTAACATTTTTTTCTACATTTTATTAAAATAAATTCTTCAATTATATTATTGTAATTAACTTTTGAAATCAAATCCGCTTCTATGATCATCAAAACCAAATTGTAAAGTCTATTTTCTTTAGAACATGATCTGAGGTACGATTTTACTCTCTTTAGAACTGAGAATGATTTTTCTGTTGAACAGTTATTAATTAGTATATACAGCAACATTCTCTTAAAAATATAAAGTAATCATAAATATTTACCACATTTTTTTGTCTAATGTACCTTATGTCCTTAAAGTGTCTGCACAAATACTTTTTAAATGTCCTCTAAAATATAGCCATTCAATTATAAAGGATAGTTCCCAATTATTGGGATACTCCCAGGGCCGTATTTATGATTTTGCCTATGATTAGTTTTATAAATACTTAAGTAGTCATACTAATTATAGGGATTTGTGATATCTAATTTAGTATTTAGATAAGAACAAACCATTTAAAAATTTAAAAAAAGACGGATATACTTCGCATGTGAGTGTAGCCACTGTTAATTTAACTAGATAAATATTATAATAATTTGAAAATTTTTAAATACTGAAATAGCCAATAATTTACTGACTACCAATATGATTTCAATTTGATTAAAATTGAAATAATTTAATGTTTTACAATGATGATAGATTTTTTTTTCATTCTGTACAAAAATTCTACTAGAAATGTTGCTTCGATTATCAAGTGTAGCACCTTTTCTGAAACTTATCTGGTACTTAAAGCAAGTAATTTTTTGATTTTTTATGCAGTTTTCAGTATATTTAAGAAAAGACTAGAAAATCCTGAAAAACGGACAGATTGATGAGTTCTTGTATTAATGTCTAAGTAGTCTAGGTATGCTGCAGTAATGGTGCTGATCATTTCTGGGTGATAAAATGGACTTTAATGGCCCAATTTTCGTTTGAGCTTTATGTCCCCCAAAGGTGCTGTGGCCAAACAGGTACAACTGCAGATTTGGGTGACAACTCCTACCCAAGTGAATTGAATACAGTCAAATGCCGTGAACAAAAATTTTTGCAGAACCATCAAACATTCTGTACAGGTTTTGCAGAGGCAAAAAAATCTAAAAATGTAAAAAAATTAATTTACAAACCTGGAAATTTCTGCATTTATAGTTTTTCTAAAATAAAAATGGTCAAGTAATTATTTAGTTAAGAAAATATAAACATATTTAAAAATTATAAAATTGAAATTATATAATAAAATAATAAATTAAAAACAAAATTATTAAAATAGTTAATTCTGGTAAATAAATATAGTAAATAATTACATAAATAAAAATAAAATTAATTAATTAATGAATGCATCAGGAGTATTATGATAAGTGTATTATACAATCTGATTTCAAATTAAAAATTCATCAGGTATATCACAGTGAAAACTCAACCGAATCCAACTCATCGCCAAATCCGTGCAGTTGAGCTGATGCATTTTCATCAAATGGAACACCCTAACAGAAATTTGTCCACTTGGTTTGCAATGCTTCTAATAATGATGTGTCCCAGTTTAATTTTAAAGTCCACAACTGTAGCATACAAAATTGTTCATGAATTAAAGCAGGCGTTAAGAATCCTGCTGGATCATATACACTGTTTATATTTAAAAGCAGTGTTCTTTTAGTCATTCGAAAAGAACTTCTTCTGAAACCACTTCTGAAGGGCTAAGCTATCCCTGTTAAGTTCATAACATAGATTTTGATAAAGTTCATAACACTCTGCCTCGTCTTAACCACCACTTAACTAGTCGTTAACATAACAGTCTTTTGTCTTATAGCACGCTGAGTTGCATGATTGCTAATACTATAACTTAACTCGAGTAGTGGTAGAGAGTGGTAGAAAATGAAGCAGCCCTGGTACCGTAGGTCACAATCAGCAGTCTATAGTCTTTCAATGACTCTGCTGGACTTGCTCTGTAGCATATTCTTTGCATGTCACAGTCTTCAAAAGACAACTTTATTTGCCTGTACATTTTCGCTATGTCAGCAGTAAGGGCAATTTTATGAATTCAAAATCTTAAAATTATAGAGATTAAGTCAGGTAGCACAGTTGGTTTACATAATAGAATTTTATTGAGTCTGTGACCAGACTTAGTTGTAGCAGAGCCATCAAATACCATACGCATTTTTGTAGTCAAGTTGTTGAATTTGAACACTGAATGAAGGTAGTACGTGGGGGCCATCAGTATTTCTAGTAACCTTCATATGGGCCACTTCAAGGTACAAGTTTATGAACTCCTTGTAATCTGACGCAAGTAATGGTTCATTTTTAGCAATTTTCGTTCAAGATTGTAAAAGCGCTAGAAATCTTGATTTGCCTAAAACTGATGGATCTTGAATAAACAGTATTCTTACAACAAAGCGACCAAGATTGACATGAGACACGTTATGATTAAATGATCTTCAGCTTTAGACTCTGAAGAGAAATTATTTGAGCAGGACTGAGCAACAAAAGCTATAGCTGATTGATCGCAGTGATGTAGAAGTAAATTTATTGATATCGGCTGTGTATTATGAATTTGATCAGATTCGGTAAATATTCAACCAAGATTGGTATTGTGAAGAGCGATAAGCGAACTGATTTTCAAATTTTCACCAATTAATAATTCAAAGAAGGATATCAATTTTAGTAGGTTTACTAAAATGAGGATCAGCTAAATGGCTACCAATAGTATGCGAAATAAGTAGTAGTTCCATGTTAATGTGATTAGAGGGCAAGTTCTTGGTGATTGAATCAATTTTATGGAAGTTGATGAATGCTTCAAAGTCTTTAAATTTTGAACTTATTGCGGTGCTTATCATAGTGCTTGTTTTGGCAATTACAGAACCAATGCTAGTTATGAACAGTAAGTTTTTAACAATACACTAATATTTAATCTAGTTGCACACTCCTTAGTTATCAGACAGACTTGAGAACCAGAGTCTAAGATGACACTACACTGAATATGATGCCCAGCTGTGTTTGTTAGATTGACCAGTATAGTAGCTAGAATTATTTGGTTTGGTGCAGTAGAGTTGTTGTTGCCTAATCCAATATAAGTTATAATAGGTTGGCTCTGTGGTACTGAAACTGAAGGGTAGAATGGTGCATCGCTGTGTAGCTTAGTGTTGTGCCATTTCTTGCATTTATTACAATTACCGTCACGACACTGACGGACTTGATGACTAGGATACAGAGTTATAACATAACTTGTTTATGAAAACCTCATCTTGACACTCAAGCAATGACATTTTATTGTAATTTTCACTCATTGATAACTGATGATGATCAGGACGTATTATACATTATTTTTCCTTAAAAGCAATACAGTCAGTTTGATTGGCAAATAATCTCTTTTTTGAGTTAGATGACCACCAGTAGACAACTAATTGAGCTAAGTTGACTGACTGGTTATCTACTTTACCAACTTCATATGCAGACACCTGGTTAGCCTAGAATTTTTCTAGATCACTAAATTTAGGAAGATTTAGAAGATTTAGGAATTTAGTTTACTGCAATAGCTTTCATTTCCCTGCAGTGGATACCTGCAGCACAACAGGGTAACCAGCCATGCATCATATTCATTGACGGGTTGACCAAGGATCTTTAGAGCATTTACTTGTGATGAGACATGGTGATGCAACTGTCTTAGTTCAGTGACAACAGGCTCGTTTACTAGGGGTGTTTGAAACAGTGAAAGTACGTGGGACTGGATAATGAGCGACTTGTTTTTGTAGCTCTTATAGAGATAAGAGTCAATCCTAGGTTGTGATTGAACATGGTATTGAATATGTTAAGGAATGATATCCAGTTTTGCAAATTTCTATTAAATATGGGAGCCGGAATGGACTTTGGAATGCAGCTTCATTGAGTCACGAATGTTTTGCTGTGATGGTGCGCTTGAAGTATTGGATGGCGCTTTAGTGTAGCATTCAACCATGTCAATAATTCCAGCTTTAAATGAGCAGAAAAAATCATCAACTCTGAGTCTGTCGTCCAGCATCTCAGTGGTAGCTGCATTATAATCTTCAATCTTGTATTGATTCGCCTCATATTTGGACATGCAATACATTAAGCTGTCTAATTTAGTTTTTAGTTAATTTAAAGATTTTGTCCCAGGGACGTATTTGTTGATGAATATTTTGATTGAGTCTATTAACTTCTTGGCTAAATCCCTCTTTTTTTATCATTTTCACTATCTCGGGAGGAAGTTGAATGGTGTTTCAAATTTTGATTGAAGAATTTACAATTGTATAATACTATACCCTAACGCACTAGTGACAAGGTTAACTATGATATAATAAAACTTTAGCAGTACTCCCTTAATATATAGTAATATTTGAAACCAATTAAACAGCTAAGAGTAACAAGTAAAAACAATATGGATAATCACACACTTATATCTACAGACTATTTTTTTTGACAAGATTTAATAATTTGTTCAGAAATGTTCAACCACATTAAGAACATGAACCAAAAAATAAAAAAATAAATTAATAACACAAATTGACTAGTTAATATGATGTAATTATGATAATTATATGTACATGAATGTAGTACTGCTTAATTGAAGCCTTGCTAATGTTTAAAACTAATATTTAAAATACAGTGGCTTGTGTGGTACGTTTTACATAATTCAGTATCCAAGTATAATAATTTACTGCCTAACATTGTTATTATTTTCAAAAATCAATATTTGTTAATTAAATAGAGAACATTTAATAGTGAACAATTACCAACAACTTTTGCAAATGAAATTTTAAATAATAATACAGCATCATGTCAAGGTCACCAAATGTTGATTCGCGTTCAGCCTTCTTCTACTATTGAAGATTTGATTTCACATCCTGGAGATAGGCAATATTGTGCGCTATCGTCCACTGTTAAATTTATTGTATAATAATAATCTGATTGAAGTAACAATAGTTGTTGGTAAAAAATTACAATCTAAATTATGGATATTAACATATTGAATCATAAGATATATAAAAATAATAACACTATTTGACAGATGTGATGTATAATAAATTTGGCTTTTACAAAATTGAATATTATAAGAACTTAAAAAATAAGGCCAGTCGGCCGTAGAATACAATAAAAAATTAGTCTATAATACTCACTAGTGGTATAATGCCTGCCACTGCGTACAGCACAAATACAAAACACAAAACCACATTATTTACAGTAAATCCGGCTAGCAATGAACACCCTAGAACATGGGGATAAACAATTAATGATGGGCAATAACAATTGCGCTAAAGATACTCACCAGAATTGAAGCACAAGACAAAGGGATGAAAACGTGGTTTTAGCAGCAGTTGTATAAAAAGAGAAGGAAAGTAAGTTGCTCGGTGGCATCCAAAAAAGAAAAAGGAACTTAATAAACGGTTAACTTCACACTTTAAAAATGAAATGATAGAGTCGCCATAGTATTAATAACAGTTAACTTCAGTGATAGTGACGGAGATTAAAACAGTGAATCAAGGGGGGAAAAGTGTTTATTAAATATTTGTTTGATCGGGCAGCTACCCTAGTTATAAATACAACTAAACAATTTATAATAGGAATAGTATAGGAATAGAATGGTATAGGATAACTATATTAATTGTATCTATCATTTGATTTCCAAACTTAAAACAAGATTCAATGAAAAGTTCAGTAAATTAATACCTTAAGAAAAATTAATACTAACATATATTGATGAATATATTGATAGCTGCAATAATGTATAATGAAGATTTGTATGATCAAAAAACAAAATTTAAAATCAAAAATTTCAATTGATTGAAACATTAAAACATTGTGATGAGTTTTTTCATATTATAATATTATTATTGCATTTATTTGCTACCATATCTGTCATCCTGTCACCACAATAAGTACTGAGAAATCATTTTCATCATTAAACCGGTTTAAAAAACTATTTGAAATTCCAGAAGCAATTTTAAATAATCATAGGAAAATGTCTGTAAATATCAAAGAAATAATAAACATATTTTAAAAGTCATTTAGATATATTAAGACAGAAAATTGGTGTTTTTTATTCAAATATTTAAATTTAATACACATAATTGTTTTGTATATTAGCTTATATATACATTTAAAATGTATTTTTAAAGTAATTATTATTATTATAAAATAATGTATGATGCATGATATAATGAATAATATTTTATTCACTATTTCAATTTTAAGACAATGCCAATTGTTGATTTTTATTAGAATTAAACTAGTCTAGCCTGACCTCCTTTTTCATTTCTACATTCACCCCTGAATAGTCATTTGTATTTAGATTTGGAGTATAGAGATTGATTGGTTTTATTTTGATGTGTTTTTTGTTATATTTATAAGCAACTTTTATACAAGAAAACTTGCTTCAATTTTATGCATTCAATTCAATGCAATTTTGACAGAAAACTAATATTTCCATTTTCTAGACATAGTAAATATTCAAAACATTTTGGCTATTTTTGAGCTATTTATAGGCATTTTATGTTTGTTAGTTTTTCTGTGCAGGTTTTTTTTTTTTATTTAATAAATACTATATGAATATAATTGTTTGCTTAAACAGAAATTCTTGCAAAAATGCAAATTTAACACAGGTTCATTATAAGTTGTATTTAGTGGTAAAAAAAAAAAGTTTATATAATGTAATAGGTTTTTTTTTTTTATAAATTATAAATATGTGTATAACCAGTTTATCATTGCTTAGAGATATAAACATAATAAATTTGTGTATCCTACTTTTTAAACTTTTAACCCACATCAGTGGTGAACCCATTAGCAGTATCAGCTCTTTTTTTTTGTTTATTTGTTATGGGTTCCCCAAACTATTCCTCATGAAATTGTCCATAAGAAGGTTTTGCAAACTCAGTTTGGCCAATAAATGAGATTTAATATTTGTCTGTACAGTGAAGAAGTTCAATTTATTTTTGTGAATTTATAATTATTGAATTATGTTTGAAAATTGGGGTCAAAGAGATGTGGTAGAATGCTTATTTTTGTTTTTAAGTTCTGTTATTTTTCCAAGTTCAGTACTGTTGTGGAAAGAAGAAATCTAAGTCTACTTCATCATATTGAAAAGCTAATAGGCTTAGAAATTTATAGCGAATAATAAAAAGTGGTGACATGATATATGAAATGACTAGATAAGTGATATGCAATTTCTTTAAATTAATTCCTATTAGTTATATTTATAGCATATTAAAGAATATATTGTATATAAACTTTTAAAAATTTTTGAAAGTTGGAAACATTCAATGTTTAAACTAGTTAGTTAGAAAGTATATTAAAAAGTCTCTTTAATACTACTTACAAGTATTTTCAAGAACAGAAGTAGATTTTTGTATCCATATTTTTTTGAAAAATTCCTTGGTGTATCAATGCGATGGATGCCATTTAGAGATTTTAGAATGATTATGTATTGGAGGCATATGATCCCATGATGTTGGTAACAATACATTGTTCAAATTTAACTTAAAAATTAAAAAATTGATTATGCAAATATGTATTTATTAAATTGTTAATTTCACTCACCATATTTATTGTACTACAATGGAATTTATGCATTGAGATTAATTTCTACTGTGTCTAAAAATATTATCTCCTCAGAAAATTCCACTGGCTCACTTAAATAATAAAAGTCAGTTAAAATAAAGTTAAAGATAATAATTTTTAAAACTTACTCAAACTGTACAAGCTGCTCTCCTTGCACTAATATTAATTCTTCATCAGATATTAATGGTTCCTCTTTCTTAGTTGGCCAGACTGGATTTGTAAAGAAGTATAGAAAAAAAACTGCTAACTTTTTGAACATATTGAATATTTTATTTTTCAATTAAGTATTTACTAATTTAATATTTTTATGGAAAATTACTAACTTTATGGAGATATAATAATTATTGTATACCTACAATTTATTTGAATATGTAATAATCTATAGGTGTAAATGAATAATATTTTCTTTTGATTTTCCTGAGTAGTATTAAACAAATAATTTTATATTTGTTTTAGGTTACTGGTAAATTTTTTTTATAATACCAAATGAAATGTTTTAAAAAAATATATTTCAATATGCTTAATAAAAAAAAGAACACCTATATAAATATATCTATTTATATATTTATAAATTTTTTTTTTGATTTAAAAGCAATATTAGTTTCTAGATTATGGTTTTTCTTTAGTGTAACAGTTAATTAACACATTTTATTTAAAATTTGAATATGGTAGAATAATTTATTTTGTTAACATTAACCTATAAAAAAATTGTTATAATTTTAGTCTGGCCTAAAAATAAATTCATATTTTAGTGGAAATTCTTTATAATTATCACTTGTACATTTAGTGGCAAGTCAATGATGGTTATCATACATGTAGTAATTGACTAAAATGTATTACATTATGAACAAGTTTTGATCATTGTATGTTTGACACAAAATAAATGTGATTAATAATACTTATTTTATTTTTATCTGGACAGTTTAAGTTTAACCATTTGAATGATGTAGATTTGATATTTCGTCTAAAAATGTAATATATAAAGTAAAATATTACTGATTTATCATATATTACATGTACATCATATATTATTTGTATGATAAGTGATTAGATCTTAATGTAATACAAAATGTAAAAAAAAAACTGTGTAAAAACCACAATACAATATTTCTTTTTAAGTAACATGCCCTATACAATTGTATTTATGTATGTATCTTAAATAGTATCATATAACATAGACAAAATTATTCATTCAGAAAATCATTACTTATAAGTACTGTCCCATGATTAAAATTAACAATTTATCAACTGATCTTAACTTTCATCTGACATAATTTCATAACACTAATGAGTAGCATACAATAATATTTTACCTTCATATATTTTTTATAGTAATTCCAAGTGTAAATATAATTTCTCTGTGATACATATATATTAATATTTAAATAAGCATCAATAACATTCAGAAAAAAATTAATGTCACTTTCTTTTTGCACAATTTCCACACAGAATACAAAGTTACAATTGTACCTACATAGGTTTTAATGAGTGTAAATACAACTCGATGTTATAATT